GGCTTGCCCCCCACTAGTATCCCCATTCCCTGCCCCCCCAACCCGTGCTGCCCGCGCTCCTGCTCAGGGGGTGAAATGAAGCAGTGATGGATGGATGGATGGATGGATGGATGGATGGACCGACGGACGACACTGGCATGAGCGGATGAGACTCAGACACAACGGGAGCTGGGACAGACAGACAGATGTTGGTGGGGGGAGCAGAGCCTGCCCCCCCGGTTACCTGCTCCACTTTGCCCCCCAAAGGCGTGGGGAGGGGCGCGTTCCCATCCTCTTTATTCCCGTAAGAGTCGGGGTACTCATAGTACTCCATCTCCTCATCAAAGTACTGGGCGCCGGGGTGGGGTGGGGGGGGATGGTGGAAGGGGGAAAAGGAGGAGAACAAAACAATCATAACAGAAACCCACAGTGGGGGGAGGGTCAGGGGCTGGACCAGGGTGTGGGGGTCTGCTCCCCCTGCCCCAATTCTTTCCGGCCCCGCTCCCCCTCCCTGGGCCTGACTCTCAGCTCCCCCACTCAGGGCAGGGATGCAGTGGGGGGAGGCAGAACTGCCTTTAAACCTCCAGTTCTGGGGTTCACCCCCCACCCCACCAGGAGCCAGAGCAGCCCGCCCTGAGAAGGAGCAGGGCATGCTGGGAATACGAGGGCGGGTGGCCTCGAGAAGGAGCAGGGCATGCTGGGATACGAGGGCGGATTGACCCGAGAAGGAGCAGGGCATGCTGGGAATACGAGGGCGGGTGGCCCCATATGGGGGAGAGTTATGAGGGGACAGCAGTTATGAGGGGCAGGTGGGAGGTCTGGGGCCCCGTGATGAAGCTGGCAGTGTTTCCCTAGGGGGTAAGTGCAGGCTCCCAGTGGGTGGGTGGGGTCTAAGGAGCAGGTAGGGGGTGGGGGGCTGAGATGAACCTGGCAGTGTCTCCTCGGGGGGTTTCAGGTTTTTTTCCTTTTGCACCTGAAAACGTCAGCGAAGGACCAGCAGCCCCGTATCCCCCCCAGATCAGCCCCACACGCCCAACCAGCCCCGCATCCCCCCTAGATCAGCCCCACACGCCCAACCAGCCCCGTAATGCCCCCCAGACAGTCCCATGGGCTCGACCAGTCCCATATCCCCCACACATCAGCCCCACAGGCCCACCCAGCCCCGTATCCCCCCTTGGCTTGCCAACTTTCTACTCGCACAAAACCGAACACCCTTACCCCGCCCCTTGCCCCTTCTCTGAGGCCCCGACCACCGCTCACTCCATCCCCCCTCCCTCTGTCACCCACTCTTCCCACCCTCACTCACTCACTCATTTTCACCGGGCCGGCTCAAGGGGTTGGGGTGTGGGAGGGGGTGAGGGCTCCGGCTGGGGGTGTGGGTTCTGGGGTGGGGCGAGGGATGAGGCGTTCATGGTGCGGGACAGGGCTCTGGGCTGAAGCAGGGGGTTGGGATGGGAGAGGGGTTGAAGGCTCCGGCTGGGGGTGGGGCCAGGTATAAGGGGTTTGGGGTGCAGGAGGGTGCTCCGGGCTGGGACTGAGGGGTTTGGAGGGCGGAAGGGGGATCAGGGCTGGGGCAGGGGGTTGGGGTGCTGGGGAGGGGGTCAGGGGTGGAGGCCCCAGGCGGTGCTTACCTCAAGCAGCTCCCGGAAGCAGCGGCATGTCCCCCCTCCGGCTCCTACGCGGAGGCATGGCCAGGTGGCTCTGCACGCTGCCCCGCCCACAGGCGCAGCCCCCGCAGCTCCCATTGGCCACAGTTCCCGGTCAATGGGAGCTGTGGGGCGGTGCTTGGGGCGGGGGCAGCGTGCGGAGCCCCCTGGCCGCCCCTAACCATAGGAGCCGGAGGGGAGACATGCCGCAGCTTCCGGGAGCTGTGCGGAGCCACGGCAGGCACGGAGCCTGCCTTAGCCCCGCTGCGCCGCTGACCAAACCTTTCACGGATCAGTCGGTGGTGCTGACCGGAGCCGCCAGGGTCCCTTTCAACCGGGCCTTCCAATCGAATACTGGGCACCTGGCAACCCTAATACCCCCAGATCAGCCCCCCGGCCCGACCAGCCGCGTAACCCCCCCGAGATCAGCCCCCCGGCCCATCCAGCCTCATATCCCCCCCAGATCAGACCCACAGGCCCGTCCAGCCCCGTAACCCCCCCCAAGTTCAGCCCCCCGGCCCGTCCAGCCTCATATCCCCCCCCAAGTTCAGACCCACGGGCTGTCCAGCCCCGTATCCCCCTCCCCCCGAGATCAGCCCCCAGCCCGTTCAGCCCCGTATCCTCCCTGAGATGAGACCCTGCTCGGTCGGCCCCACATCCCTCACCTCGGGCCTGGCAGGTCTCTGCTGCACCTCCTGTGCCTGGGGCGCATGGGGCTGGGCGTGGCAGTCGGGGCTGTAGTGCTCGCAGTAGTCATAGGCCGCCTGCGGGTTCGGGGCGATGAGCAGCTGCTGGATGTCACCCTGCAGAGAGAGACGGGGTGATGGGGGGACGGGCACTGCTGGGCCTGGAGTCCCCACCCGCCACTAATGGGGAAAGGGGCCAGAGAGGGAGGGATAGGGGTTGGATGGAGGGGTGGGAGGGGATGGGTCACGGATGGGTTGTGGGGGATAGAGGGATGGGGGGCTGCAGGGAGGGGATGAAGGGATGTCATGGATGGATTGGGGATGGATGGAGGATTGGGTGGATGGACAGGTGTGCGTGAGGATGGAGGGAGGGAGCGAGGGAAGGAGGGTGGGGATGAAAGGATGGATTGTGGGTGGATTGGGGGCATAGATGGATGGAGGGATGGATGGATTGGGGGATAGATGGAGGGGTGTGTACAGGGAGGGAGGGCGGGGATGGAGGGGTGGAAGGAGAGGAGTTACCCTGATGCCATCCTGCTTCCCCATTGTGACCCCACCCAGAAATAACCCCCAATTTTCCCCCAAACCACCCCCAGGCACTGCCCCCATTCCTCACACCCAGCCAGTCTTAGGGGAGACATGGGGGTCAGGCGGGGTCCCCGTGGGCAGGAGGACGCAGGATGGGCTGGGCCGGTACCTGGAAGACCTCCTCATCGAGGATGCGGGTGCCAAAGACAGTGATGCCGCGGGTGTCGATCACCGGGCGGGGGCCCCGGGGCAGCGGCCGCGTCACCTTCTTCTTACAGTCCAGGATCAGCGTCACCGAGTGCTTGTGCACACTCAGCGCCAGCCGGTGCCACCTGGGGACACGGACATGCTGATGGGAGGGGGCAGGACACACGGACACGGGGGGGAGGCAGGGATGGAAAGGGGAGTCCTCAGGGGTTGGAGTGGGGTCGGTGTAGGGGGCAGAGGGTACCCATGTGCTGCAGTGTTGGGGGTCAGGGTCAGGGGTCGGCGGGTAACCACTAGCTGTCAGCAAGGTTGATGTCCCGGAAGAGCGGGCAGCCCTAGGGGGCGGGGTGGGGGGTTGGAGGTCAGGGGTTGGCAGGTACTCACTTGCCGTCAGCGAGGTTGATGCCCCGGAAGAGCGGGCAGTCCTTGGGGCGGGCCGGGGGGTTGGTGGTCAGGGGTCAGGGGTTGGCGGGTACCCACTTGCCGTCAGCGAGGTTGATGCCCCGGAAGAGCGGGTAGTCCTCGGGGGCGGGCCGGCCGCTCTGGTCCTGGTAGAGGAAGACGGGCGAGCGCCCCAGCTCCACGCCCAGCTGCTGGGTGCCGTGCTGGTCGTACATGGAGAGCAGGAACGCCTGGGTCCCGGCCTTGGCTTTCACCAGGGCCATGATGGAGAAATCCTCTGGGAACTTCCCTGGGGAGACAGCAGGGGCTGTGGGACCCTGTGGAGGGGGGGGAGTTCGGGGGGCAGGACACTGGCGGGTGCAGGGACAGCCAAAGGGGGATGTAGGAATGTTCCACTAGGTACACAGGGGGGAGGGGCGTGGGAATATCCCAATGGGGGCGTAGGAATGTTCCACTAAGGACACGGGGGTGGGGGGGCGGGAACATCCCAAGAGGGGCATGGGAATGTTCCACTAGTGACACAGGAGGTGTGGGAACATCTTAAGGGGGCGTGGGAATGTTCCATTAGTGACATGGGGGTCACAGGAATGTTCCATTAGGGACATTGGGGTGTGGGAACATCCCAATGGGGATGTAGGAAAGTGGGGGTGGGTGCACAGGAATGTTCCACTAGTGACACAGGAGGTGTGGGAACATCCCAAGGGGGCGTGGGAATGTTCCACCAGGGACACAGGAGGTGTGGGAACATCCCAAGGGGGCGTGGGAATGTTCCATTAGTGACATGGGGGTCACAGGAATGTTCCATTAGGGACATTGGGGTGTGGGAATATCCCAATGGGGACGTAGGAAAGTGGGGGTGGGTGCACAGGAATGTTCCACTAGTGACACAGGAGGTGTGGGAACATCCCAAGGGGGCGTGGGAACGTTCCATTAGTGACATGGGGGTCACAGGAATGTTCCACTAGGGACATTGGGGTGTGGGAATATCCCAATGGGGACGTAGGAAAGTGGGGGTGGGCACACAGGAATGTTCCACCAGGGACACAGGTGGGTGCGGGACCATGCCGTGAGCTGGGGGGTGTGGGACCAGAGACGGAGGCGGGGGGAGCCTGTGGGAACAACGCCCGTGGGAAGGGCACGGCTGATGGAGGACACAGGGAGGGGGAACACGCCGCAGGACGGGAGGGGGTGGACTATCCCATGCGGGTGGGGGGGTGTGTGCATGACCTGGTACCTGAGAAGAGCTGCCTGGTGGGGGCGCTGATCTGTGCCTGCCGTGATATCCTGTAGGCCACGTCCGGCCCCGTCCCTGTCCGCCTGGCGGGGCAGAGCCCCGTCGTCTTCCGCACGCCGGCCGGCTGGGCCTGGAACTGCAGCGCCTTCAGCACGTCCACCGGCTCTGCTGCGGGACACGGGGGGGGGGGGTGTCAGAGCTCTGCAAACAGCCCCCACCTCCCCGACAGGGGCCCCCTCCCCAGCCACACAGAGCTCTCCAGTTCTGGGATCACATGAACTCACCCCCCCACCCTGCAGCTTACCACGGGTCCCCCCCTCCAGCAGTGATTCCCATTCCCTGCTGAGCCTCTCCACGTTCAGCCCCCCCAAGCCTATGAATCCCCCTCCCCATGAGAGTCCTTCTGCCCTGAGGGCTGAGCTGGGGGGGTCTGGGACGCGGTGGAGGAATGCCCGCAGAGCAGGCAGGCCTGGCTGCATGGAAGTGGGTGTCTGGGCAGCTAAGGGCGGCTGATCGTGGGTGCAGGAGATGGGGTCCCCCTGCCCAGGTGCACTGGAGGCCGACTATCGGACTCCTGGCTGGGGGCTCAGGGCAGGGGGGCTCTGGCTGGGGAGCGGGGGGGACTGGCAGGGCTGGGCAGGGGGTAGGGGTCCCCTCAGGTGTGCTGGCCAGTTCTATCCAAATTCCAATCTCTCCTCCCGGGACGCTCACAGAGACGGGCTTTTTCAGGCCCGATCAACGGGGTCTTTGTTCCCAGCCGGCGGGGGGGGGGGGGGGGGGGGGGGGGGGGGGGGG